CCGTCGGCAGAAGTTGTCCGGGATGGAACGCCAGTGCCACCTGATAGATTCTACACAAAGTGCCTCACATGGAGGCCGCCGCTTTTTCCACTACCCGCCTTATTCTGGTTCGCTATAGCTCGTCTGCTCACTGTGCGATGACGTAAAGGCGGGCCCTGCAGAAATCACAGGCTTGAGGAGAGCGGAGGCCGGCGCAGCTTTGAAACCGGCTGCCGTGGCCCGTGTCTGCCCTCGGGCAGAGTGTCGGGGGCCTCCAGCCTTCTAGTTCACCATGGCTGACAGCCAGGAATGCGCAGATTCAGATTCCTCACCCCCTCGGGCTGCCAAGAGGACAGACTATTGGAGCTGGGAGATCCGCGGCATCTCTAGCATCGGAATCGTTGGGTGGGTGTCCGACTCCTCTCGGTTCTAGGCGCAAATGTTACGGGCATGGTGGAAATCGATATAAGTAAAGCTCCCCGCCCCCCCCCCCCCAACCTGCGTTCACGCCGCTTCACAGCGACAGTGTGTGGCTGCTAAGTGCAAAAGCATTAACCCACTTGGCACCCCCCCCCTCCGTACACGCCGCGTTGCGGCGTCCAGCTGACAACCCAAGCCCTGCTTTCCTTCATTGCACATCCGGAAAGGAAGTCTTATACCCTTTAGTTCAGCAAAATTTTGTTGGCAACATTTTTTTTTAAAGTGTTAATCATAAAAAAGAAATGTAGTAAATATCGACAAAATAAAATGTTCAAGAAAAAAGAGAAAAAAAAAGTAAGTCCACACTGCAGACCGAACCGGGGTCCGCTGCGTATGAGGCAGACACCTTGCCACTTAGCTACGCTACCGCTTCGGAAATTCGTTCTAACCATTCGTTTTATACGAGTTTCAAAACGTCGTGTGCATAGCAATTTCCAGTCAACGTGCACGCGCCCGTGCATATAATTTTACTCAATCAATGTATGCTCGAAGATCCGCCTGCCTCCAAGGGTGACGGACATGACGAGCGAACGGCACATTCAATGCCCATGTCCACATGCCCGAGGGCTCGAACCGTTGCGCTGACTGGGGTTTATTCAAGCCCTTCAGAGCTGTTCTTCAAGATGATTTGCTCAAAGTATCTCGGTAAGTGGCCAAAAACCACTGCAGAAAACACTGATGAGTAAGACTAGGCTGTCTTATCAAAACATTTTAAGGTCTTCGGACGAAGGCCGAGTGTTTCTTTTCTCGTGTTACTGTATTTAACTATTCTTTTATGTGCTTGCTTGAAAACCTGGTTGCGTCCCACCATTAGCTCTGAAGATAACTTTCCGCCCTATTTTGAAATTTTTTTCATCGCGATCGTGACTTTGTTTTGCGAGGTAGCATAGGAGGTGGTGTGATGATTGCAGTTGACAGGCGGTACAATTCAAAAAGACGCGAGGATTTAGAGGGGTCCCCTGAGTGTCTATCGGTTGAAATCGAGTGCACAAAGCGGGTGTTTTATTCGGATTGTTTTATCTCCCTCCTCAAACTACACCTCATCAGGTGTCTTGTAACATTGAGAATATAGTGAAAGAGTTGTATAGGTGCAACCTTTTGATAATGGGGGACTTTAACGCTCCAGGTATTAACTGGACAAATTTAAATGTTCACACTGACAACTTTTATTGCAAGCAGAAATGCAGCCGTCTACTGAACTTCGTATCGTTTTTAGATCTCAGACAGCACAATTATGCTCTTAAAGGGGTGCTCTGGCGATTTCTTTATGGTCCCCGATTGGCTTGAAATTTTGCTAAACTCGCCAAACAACATCGCCAAAATAGTATCCCAAATATTAGGTCAAAATAATTTTTTTTCACGAAGTTATAGAATTTACAATTTTGGTCCTCACCGTGTTTCTCAAACTGAAAGTCTCTACTGGCAACAACGAAAAAGTGACGTCAGTTAAAGTGCAGGGGTTCACTCTTTGGACTGTAGAATTTGTTCCCAACTGATTCGAAGCAGTTTCATGGTGTCAAATGAATGCTTTGGATGCTCGCTCCAATCCCCGTGCTCCAGCACGGAACAAATGATTGGCATATTCTATTTTTTAGACTGCTCGCTCGACTGGCAAGCCTGCCCGCCACTGACGTCACGGCACTGAAAAGTGCGCGTATGTTTGAATGTTGGTTTTTGCACCATTTTCATTTGCCGCATTGGCAATAACTATTATGAATTTCGTGATACTAAATAGCATACCGGAAAGGGTAAAGGCCGGGGAGTCAGGAAATATAGTTAGTTGAGGCAGCTAAAAAAATCGCCAGAGTACCCCTTTAACAACCAGGAGAATTCTTTAGATTCATGTTTCTCTAGTATGGAACGCGTTTCCATCGTCCGGAGTCAATCCCCATTGGTCCCTGAAGATATATATCACCCTGCACTTGATGTAGTGTTCTCCCGTATTTCACCAGTTTGCACTCCTCCTTCCTAAAGATGCCTTCCTCACACCTCGTAGAGCAATTTCTCGGCAGGCGACTACATTTAAATGCACTATTATTTTACGGATGTCAACTGGGCATCTGTTCTTAAGCCTATCAATGTGAATGAGCAAGTCACTTGCCCCACGAAGAATTGTTCTGGGGGCTATAGAGATATTGTCACGGGTGGTGACCAGAATGACAATAAATAAACAGGAAGAAATAAACGTTTAATGTGGCGAACTTGTGCCGAAAACAAAAAGGAGAATAGAAAATATTAACAAAGCGTCGCGAGCGTCGAGGTCGGCGAGACAGCGGAGTCGAGCGCTGGGGCGAAACCGACTCGACAAGGTCGCGGGCGGCCTCTTATCTAGAGTGAGTCACTATCTCGAAGATTCGGCGGAGAAGGTTCGAGCGTAGCGCGCTCGGGGCGAGAATGAACAAGCACTTTCTAGAACAACAAAAACAAGGATGAACGATAGTTATGTCCAAAGCAAGAATGAACGAGAACTTTCTACAAGTCCGTGACCCTGCGCGCGGCATTATCCCCCCCTTTAAAAAGTGCATCGTCCTGATGCAGCACAAAACGAAGAACAACAAACAAAAACAAATCCAAAACAAAGAGGCAGCAGAATCGCGAGTCGCAGTTCACAGTTCACAGTTCACCCGTCGACGAGAGTGGAAAGTTCTATCGTTCGTAATACGGCTTCAGCCTAACGACGTGCACCACCTCGGGTCGTGGCTGACGTCTTGCAGATGGGCGCGTTCCGTCGGGTAGAACTTCGTAGTTCAGATCGCCGAGGCGTCGGATGATCTTGTAGGGTCCGAAATAGCGTTTCAGAAGTTTTTCGCTGAGACCGCGACGACGTATTGGTGTCCAAACCCATACCCGGTCTCCGGGTTGAAAGTGGACGTCCCGGCGACGAAGGTTATACCGGCGTGCGTCGACTCGCTGTTGGTCTTGAATCTTGACTCTTGCCAGTTGACGAGCTTCCTCCGCGCGCTGGGAGATGAGTTGAGCGTCGTCGTTGACATCACCGGTTGGCACGTGAGGCAGCATGGCGTCGAGCGTCGTGGTAACCGTTCGGCCGTGTACCAGTTGGAACGGTGTCATTCCCGTGGTTTCTTGAACCGCTGTGTTGTACGCAAACGTGACGTACGGCAGCACCTCGTCCCATGTCTTGTGCTCTACGTCGACGTACATGGAAATCATGTCGGCGATGGTTTTGTTGAGTCTCTCCGTCAGCCCGTTGGTCTGCGGGTGGTACGCCGTGGTGCGACGATGGCTGGTGCTGCTGAGACGAAGGACTTCTTGCGTCAGCTGGGCCATGAAGGATGACCCGCGATCTGTAATCAGTACTTCAGGTGCGCCGTGTCGAAGGAGAATGGACTCGACGAAAAATTTGGCGACTTCCACGGCTGTTCCCGATGGCAGGGCTTTCGTCTCGGCGTATCGTGTAAGATAATCGGTCGCGACGATAATCCACCGATTTCCTTGCGTCGATGTTGGGAACGGCCCAAGCAAATCCATTCCGACTTGCTGGAAAGGCCTAGTTGGGGCAGGTATCGGCTGCAGGAGTCCTGCTGGCTTCGTCGGAGGCCTCTTACGTCGTTGGCACTCATGGCACGACCTTGTGTACAGATGGAC